GCTTTCTCTAATGCGAAACATTCATGGTACATTTGGATCTAACTAAAAATGACACCACCTAAGAAACAGCAATAGTCGAATGTACATCACAAAGAGCCACAAAAGCTCCACTGACAGATTGACATGTTCTTTTAGAATAGGTTGATATTTATTTTAAAAACATTCGAATGTGTTTGATTGTGCAGAAACGGAGAGTTTCAGTTGTGCAGTTATACCATTGCTAAGTTTTACTTCTTATTGTCAACTCTGCTCCCAGACAAACAGGCTGGAAGCACTCTACAGATTTTCTGTGTTATGGCACCTGACCAGGGAGATCCAGAGCAGCAGATCCATGTCACTCAACAGATCCTTTGATAGGTAGGTTGTTTGGTGCAGAAGCCAATACCATTTCACTGCCCGAATCAGTTCTGAACACTTTCTGTTTTCTGACTGACTCGTTGGCTGGTAATTTCAGAAATTAGTGGGCTCCCCCTTCATTTCTGGTGAGGATGGTGCTGTCTGTTTTCAGGTCACTGTTTGTGGTGCTGGACAGCCTGAACAGCCAAGATGGTGCCATCAGTGCAGCTGCCCAGAGCTGGCTGGTCCGTGCTTTTTCCCTGAACGACGTGGTCCGGATTCTAGAGCCAGTCTTGCTGCTGCTTCTCCATCCCAGAACCCAGCGTTCGGCCATTCACTGCATCAAGCAGAATCTCACTCTAGGTAAGTGCGAGGGTGGAGCGGGAGTGTGAGGCCTGCGGTTCTCCGCGTGGAGAATGTTCAGGAGGTTTCAAGATTTAATAGGTTGGTAAATTTGGCTTTATAAAAACTCCTCCAGCATGAGTGACAGGGACTGTCTTCTGTGGATATGTGCAGTTTAACCTGGGTGCAGTTATTTTTTTACCTGAATTGACCATATCTTAATTAAATGTATGATTTTAAGGACTAACCCATTTCCCAGCATAACAGGTTATTTTGCCCATAAAAAGGATTTGGCTTTGACATAGAACCTGTATTGGTCAGGGGTTTGTGTACTCTACTGTGATGTTCCTTTGGTGCCAAAGAGATGTCCCTTTAGTGCAGGGATATTTTATTTTACATTAGTACTACTGTGCATTTATATTTATATTATTACATTCATATGCGCAAACACACACACACTTATATAGAAGACGATACCATAGGCCATTGCTCTCAGCTTGTCAACATTGTCTGCCTTCAAGTAGACTTGTTCCCCGGAGTGATATGTCTTGTTCCCACCTGGTTTAGGAAACCTGAAGGTCCTAAACAGCAGGGAAAGGGCCTGTTCCAAGGACACATTCAGTGACCTGGCAGATAGCTGCTCGTTGGATGAAAGCATCCTGAGCCGGATGACGACAGTGGACCGAGAGGCATTATGGGCAGAAGTTGAGCGAATCCCAGAGATGGTCAGGCTTTCACAGGAGCCAGTGGAAGACAAGAGGAGCGAGGACTCCTTTTCCCCGCAGGATGACGAGGGAGATGGGCCCGAGCTGGCAGAGGGGCGAGAGGACTGCGACGAGGACAGCGAGCATACAGAGTCAGCTGACAGCAGTGGTGCGCAGATCTCCACGGAGAACACCAGCTCGGCTTCTGCACTTTACCTGCAGCACCCTGATGACAGCAATGGCATGGATGACGATGATGAGGGTAGACCTGTGGGTGGCAGTGGGAACCCCAGGAAAGGCCAATGTGAAAATAGCTGCCTCCCTGCCATGTACCGGATAGACTCCCAAAGGACCCAAGCCTCTGAATCGCTCTCCAGCGATGATGAGGAACAGGAGCTGGAGGCCATGGCCCGCATGAGACTTCTGAAGCGGCAAAAGGAGAAAAGGGAGATGATTGACTCTCTCTTCAAGCACGTACTTTTGTATTTACAACCGTATGACTCCACCAGGGTCCTCTACGCTTTCTCAGTCCTAGAAACAGTGCTCAAAACCAACCCAAGGGACTTTGTGGAAGCTGTGTCAACCACCAGCATGGACACCAGCTCCACTGCCCATTTGAACCTCATCTACAACCTCTTGGCACGTCACCAGGAGGCCCTGGTGGGCCAGAGTTTCTATGGATGTCTTCAACCCCAATCACCTGTCTCCTGCCCCTATTCCCTGCTGATTGAACTTCTCACCTACCTCTGCCTGAGCTTTCTGAGGTCCTACTATCCCCGCTACCTTACGGTTAGTCACCGGGACCTGCTGGGAAACCGAGATGTGCAGGTCAAGAGTGTGGAGGTCCTGATACGTCTGATGAGCCAACTTGTGATGGTCGCCAAGTCTCAGGAAGAAAAGAACGTGGATTTCATAAGGAAGCTCTTGTCCAGTTGCAAGGTGCAGCAGTATGTCCTGCTGTCCCTCTCGGCCTCCATGTACGTCAATCAGAAGCCCGCGCAGCCCGACAAGAGTGAGGAACTCCTGGAGGATGGCCTGTTTGAGGAAAGCCTGATAAACTTTGGCCAAGACCAGATCTGGAGCGAGCACCCCCTGCAGATCGAACTGCTCAAGATCCTGCAGGTGCTGATCGTCTTGGAGCACCACCTCCGAGGAAGAACCGCCGAGGAGCAGGAGGCCTCCTCTCCTCTGGCAAAAGAGTGGCAGACAGCTGTCCACTTTCAGCAGTCCATCAAGGCCCTGCAGTACATCCCTGCCCAGCCCATCACCTCTCAGGGCATGTTTGTATCTGCTGTGGTCAGGGCTCTGCAGCCTCAATACGGCTATGGCATGCACCCGCCCTGGGTGAGCCTGCTGACCAGCTCCCTGCCTTACCTGGGCAGGTCCCTGGGGATGACCGTGGCCCCTTTCATTGCACAGATCTGCAAGAACCTGGATGAACTGGTCAAGCAGTACGAGTATGAATCAGTGAAGACAACCCCAGGGTGAGATTTTTTCACATTTATTTGATGGACTTTTTATTTTGTTAGGACTGTTCATCAAAGGAAAAATAATTCTGTATTTGCAGGAAGATATTCAGTCTTTTTTTCCAGATTATTCCCAGTGCTTGTCCTTTACAGCTGTGTGTGTGTCAGTTGGATTTAAGGGGGTAGACATTTGCATTGGAAAAGAGAAAACGTTGAATGCTATCCTGTAATTTTATAATCACCATTAATGTTTTAATATAGAATCAACTGTTGTTTACCAATCTCGCTAGTCTTCGACAGAAGACACTTTTGATAAATGATTGTAACAGCATGAAAAAATACAACCCTGAACTAACAGCTTTGTTCTTGAATGCTTATACTGAAACTAAAATAGCGTGACTGCTGTGAAAGGGATACTGGTCTGAAAATACTGAGTGGCTTGTTAGAATAATACAGACCTACAGTATGCTATGCGCTGTGATAATATTGTGTACTGTGACTCAATAAATAACTTAGTGTTCATCTTCAAACAGTTTCTCTTCGAAGAGGGAGAACATCGCCCCAGATTACCCCCTGACTCTTCTGGAAGGCCTAACTACTATCACTCACTTCTGCCTACTGGAGACCTCCAGCACACACAGAAAGGTCATTGCAGAAGGAGCTAGCTGGCTTTCATCTAGTCCTTTGGAGCTTAGAGTTCAGTCTTACCAGAATTGATTTCTTTACATGTGCTTTGCACTTACGTTTTTCATGAGGAGCGAGTTTCACTGCATCATTCTCAGAAAAGTGCCCCACTTTCACATTGTGATGTGGCTTTTATATTCAACTGAAAACACTTTGCTATATTTAGAATCCTCTCTCCATTACTGCTCACAACAACATGTTGCATGTTTGCAGTATTGCTGAATTTCTGAATTGCCAAAGTCCATATCCCTTCCCAGTCCAAAAGTGAGGGGAGGTTGATCCCCCTAAAGTGCCTTTGGACAGCATTTGAAGATGGTACCTTTAACCGTTTTCAATTGGTTTCTTTTCTGCACAGTTTTGATTTGTATTATTGTTGTGTAGATTTGAGAAAATGTACACTTGCAGTACAAGTTGGGTTTGAAGGGTGTGTAAGGTTTTGACTAGTATGTATGGAAGAGATCATGGCTGCTTGCAGTATCTTGTAGTGCATATTGAGAGAGCTTAAGAAGCTAGTCTGGATTGCTCGCTTCTGTATTTTTGTTTGGGATCAGCCTGTACTGAATCATTAACATAGAAAGATCAATGTATGTTACCATCAGTTTTGTACTGTTGGAGGGCGCTGACATGAAATTTTTAAATATTGGAAATGCTCTGTGAACCGTATAAAAAAAAAAAAAAAAACCAGTGACGCAAACTGACCCAGTAAGCATGCTCTTCTTGGCCTATACATGGGTCCAGCAGCATGTGTGAGTCATGTTGATGTGTGATAGCAAGTGCTATCATGGACGGCAGCCTGATGGCCTTTGGCTCTTCCCCTCTCCCAGGCCCCAGTGAGCACAGATCCCGGCGACGTCCGGAATGCGCGCAACGCCATCGTCGAGGAGCTCCCTCGCATCACGAACACCATGGCACTGCTGTGGGGTGTGCTCAGGAAGGAGGAGTCCCAGAGGAAGTCTTCGGAAGCAGCCCTGGGGACCAGCAAGAACACGTCCACCTCTGTTTACTTCAAAAGCACCAAAGTGAGTGACATGACTCTCTTCATGTACCAGCTTGTGCTTGAGTTTCATCAGGCAGCTGGTTTATATATACTTCAAAAGAGTTCATTTCTGTCTATTGTTTTGATACCTCATATGATTTTTCGTTTTTTTATTCTTTGTGTTAACATGCTGCTGCTATAATTTCCTAATTGTTTTATAGCTCAACACTCTAATGTTGCGGTGAGCAAAACACTACACCATATGACTTAAAAACTCTCATAAGACCAATATCCCCCACCCACACAGCGGGATGGGAGTGCAGGAGGGAGGGATGTGAGAGTCGTTCCTTTTCTTGGGCTTGTTTTGTCCTTCAGCTTTATGCACAAGCCTTCTAGCAGACTACACTCTGACCTGCTTTGTTAAACTGTGCTTTTGACTGTGTACTGCAGATCCTGAGACAGAGAGTGCTCGAGTTTCTGAACCCCCTCACGCCCCAGTACGGGGTGCAGCTGATGGCGGCTGTGGCAGCTGTGTGGAACAGCAGGAAGGGCCGGAAGAGCTACAGCAAAAACAAGGTAGAACCTTCTGAAACCTCCGGTCTTGGTCAGGGTCCTAGAGGAGCTTTTGGCTGGATGATCTCTTCATCAGCTGATACTCGTTCCTGGTCCCACTGGCCCATAGGCCTGCAGGAAGAATCTTTAAATGCACAGTGGTTGAAGAACTATAGCTCATGTCACATTAAGCCAGTGAGGTCAAAGATATATAAGTAATTAACGCCTCATGTAGAACCAGTAAAATCACTGGGTCTCCTGGCTCAGGATTTAACTATCGTTCTTCTGTTAAAGAAGATTTCTAGCTTCTCATTTTTCACAGGGGCAGGTTTTCACCTGTTGTGTCAAACAGTTGAACAGCTGTTTAATGAACTGGAAACTTAAATCACAGGAAGTTTTTTTGGCATATTCTTGCATGATGGAGATGGCAAATCATATTAGGATATTTCTTAATACAGTGCATATCGTAAATATACGGTTTCATTTGTTTTATTTATATTGTTACAAAAATAAAGTCTGGCAATGACTGAGCATAAAACTCAGTACTTAAATTAAATAATCATAATCACAACATGTAAATGATTTTGCCAAGAATATACTCTAGCGGTTGGTATAGTTAGAGGCACATGAATTCTTTGTTCTCTGGCACAGCTTTGGTGAAAAGAGTAATAATTCGGGCACACTTGGTTTAACAAATAACAAATATTAAAACACCGACAATACACACACTAAACTACACACAACATAAATATACAACACACAGGTAACACTGTGTACAAATTTACAATTTGTATTGGCATTGCAGAGGCCTACCATCCTAACCATACAAAAAACTCCAGACTGTTATCAAGTATTCAACTTTTAAATAGCACCTACAAAGTCCAAAAGAAGAGATAAGCTGCCTTCAAACTATATAGAATACAACCTGTGGTTAAAACTCTCTCTGTAAACCCAGGTGCCACCAAATGAATGGGAACTTATCCCCCTGTTCTAAAAATGCACCCACAAAGCAGGAGAGGCCATTTTTAACCAAGGGATTCTTTACACAGGAAATCGCAGTTCCATAAAAACACAGAATAGCCAGCTCTCTTAACAAGGTTCGAATGCTTAACTCCAGTCTGGTCATTCAGGGTGATTTGGAACAAGGAGCTCTCTCCTCCTTTTCCCCCTGATCTTCTCTCCGTTCTTCTCTACCACTCTGCTTCACCATCTTCTTATATGGTAACTTTCTGGACTGTTGATTGATACTTAATCATTTACCCATAATCTCATTAACTAAGATAAACCAAGTTAAACTCTGATTGCTTTGGTCACTGAATCTGTACCCCTTGCATCTCAGCCAAACAGCTTTCTGCTTTGAAGCTGGAAATGTTGTCACTAGACAGGTGTTACCCATTCTGTCTCGGTACATTTCCGTAGTCACCTGTAGCTGTAAATTAAATTAATCTGAAAGGTTCCCTAAAACATTTGAGAGGTAAAATTTGATCTTTATCATTTTATTAAAAGTTGAGTAATAAGTGTTATCAAAGCAGTCAAATGCAACGCAGGGTTACATCCACAAGAGATAAACATGCCCAATAAACTTCTATTTAAACACCCATCTCCGCTCCTGATTAGAGATTATAGTTGCAGCACATTATTTTGTCTTCTCTCACTGAACCCCTCGTAACTCTCTGAGTAGATTCTACCGGTACCCGGTGAACCCCAACTGACGATCGTGGCGCTGGTCAAGGCCCTGAGTACCCTGAGAGCAGATACCATCCTGCAGCTGGTTAAAGAGGTGGTGAAGAAGCCTCACCAGATTAAGGGAGACCAGGTAATTATCTTATTCTCACTGCTCCGCATCCACTTTCTTCTCCTGGCCACTTTGATTCGCTGGGGACTTCTGACGCATTTGGTTAGCTAGACCTACAAAGTGCTGTGGTCCCAAGATCTGGTAGATGTGGTGGATGTCTTGTGAGGTCTGTTTCCATTTGTCTTACAGAAGTCCACGCTGGTGGATATCCCCATGCTCCAGTTCAGCTATGCCTTTATGGAGGGGTAAGCGATCATTGTGGATGTGGATCTGGATCTTTTAATTAAAAGGTTTATTTTTTGAAAAATGGGAAAATACAAGCCAGCCATTTTCATAGGATTACATTATATGGGATTAATTGATTATTACAGCTAGCTGCGTGAAACTGACTACTAGATATTCAACATGCTCCAAAATAATTTGCTTTGGTTTATATCCTGATATGCTTTTAAGTTACATTCCAAGTGCAGCAGTTCTTTCCAGGGTGTCCAGTAAGAGCCTGCTGCCTGATGAAGTCTCGCACAGGGGCTGGAGAAACCAGCAGACTGAAGCTGGTGCTCTGACCTGTAGGTAACAGGAAACCAGCACCGGACCACATGGGTCACGGACAGCTGGCAGATCAATCAGTGGCGGTACTTCTCAGCTCGTGATGTGTCATTGGTGTTTTGTGCGCTAACAAAAAGATTAGGCTAAGGCTTTGGTTTGGCTCGGCATCAGTGGAGGATGTTCTTGCAGGGTCTCCGCACAAACGCTCCAGGAGAACACGACGCCCCTCCTCAGCCTCCTGAAGGAATCGGTGCAGCTCAACCTGGCTCCTCCTGGCCACTTCCTGCTCCTCGGGTGAGTGCAGCCCCCAGGCAGTGACTGCTTTCAGACATGTGCTGGTGGAGAACTTAATACAATAAATTAGTGAGTATTGAACAGTATTGATAAAGATATCAGTGTGAAGAAAAGCCTTACCAGAATGTAATTTTCTCAGCTAGCATATATTATTAGCTCATTGTTTATATTATCCACTTACTTCACCTGCTAGAAGATCACAGATACCGTCAGCTTCACCCAGTATTGGGCTGCAAGCACACTCTGTGTATTTTAAATACTTGACACAGGTTCGCTAAGAGAGTAGTCTTCTCTTTGTAAGACTGGAAATGTCAGTAAAAGACATTACCTTAAGTCTGGGAATCTATCTGTTGGCTCTTCTCTGAACCTATTTCACAGTAGCAGTATCCTTTATATTATAGTGATGAAAAAATATCAGTTTTCTAAATGAGGTCTTACTAGAGTATTACACAATTGTAACATAACATCTCTTAATTTAAGTAGTCTTAATACAAATGTTGTTCTCCACTTATTCCATCACTTCAAAAAGCTCTTGGTTTGTAAAGAATACACCTGGCATCGTGAATAAACCTGGTATTTTAATCTTGGAGCCGAGACGGTAGATGACTATACACACAGTATTGTAGGAAGGTGTATTGGCACTAATAAATGATAAACATGAGGCAAATGTTTCATGTTTAGAGTGAAAAAATTAGTACGTCTAACAAATGCTAATAAATTGGTTCCTAGAGAAGATGCACCAAGTCTATAGTCACATCTATGTAAAGTTTGTTTTTACACCACAGGATTCTCAATGACTTTGTGAACAGACTCCCCAGTCTTGACAACAAAAAGGACCAGCGGGACCTGCAGGTAAAGTCTTGTTCCACCTGTGGTTCGTCAGGCACAGCTGAACATGACATTCACAGGCAATAGAGCCGTCAGCAGGCCAGAGCTATTGACAAGGTGCACAAGGGTGGAGCCTCACCTGGGACCAGCCCTGAAGTCCCAGCGGTGGAGTAAGGGGTCCTGTTCTTTGACCCGCTTCCCTTGAAACCAAAAACCGAGCACCAAGGGGCCTTGTCAAAAACAAACAAGTGCAAGCAGGCAGTGTAAATGTAGCGCTGGTGATGGAGTTGGTGTTTTGCCTGTAATATTGAAAACACTTTGGTACGTGTACTGACTGTTTTCTATAACCTCCTGTGTCACTGCAGCAGGGCAGATAAGGAATGAGCATCACAAGACGCTTCACATGTTAAATGAAGCTGATACTTCCCTGCTGATGAATAGTCACTGATTTTTCCATAGTGGTAAAAGTGTTACTCATGATCTGCAGTAGACAAAGAGGAACAAAACCTGCTTCCTACAACCTTCTGTAAGATTAGTCACCAGTCCACTTGTTCTCAGTAGTGGTCCAGGAGTTGTTCCGACTCTGCCCTTAATCACCAGCGCCTGAAACCTTTCTGCTTGCTTGTTTAGACTCTTTTTTGCACTCAGTCCTTGGTTTAAAAAATACCACTGTTAAAGTATTTCCAGCACCTCCAGCCCAGAAAACATATGCATTCTCTCCTCAACTCCATAGTTAGGAATTATTATTATTTCTGCGGAAACAGCTCATAACAGGTGATCAACTGATGATGATGAGACATTTTATTGTGAGTGACACTGTCAGACATGCCCATAAGGTGTCAGTGTCTTTCCTTCTACTCAAGTCCAATCGATTAGATTTGAGCCAGCAGACCTGATGAGGTCCTGAAACTAATTAACAATTGGTTCATCCCAATTACAGAACTCAGCCCTTTAAGAATATAAAGCAGTGATTTTTTAAAAAAGAACCTCAAATAGAAAATTGACACAAATCAGACAATAATTAAGAACTGTTCTGTAGAAGTAATAACGGCTGAATTAAATTTTATAACAAGAGTTACCCAGGGCCACTTCTAGTAAGAAAAAAATAAAGCCAAAACAAACAAGGTCTTCCATTGCTGGCAGTAGTTTGCTCTGGTGATGAAAGGGCCAGTTAGACAAAAACTAGCAGACACAGGGGTACTTCAGGACCAGAACAGAGGACTACTGCTCTAGTTGATGCTAAGTATGAGATAGGAAGAGGACACCATTCCCTTTCTAAAAGAAGCTGTCCCCTCTGTTGCCTGATATCATTGCACTTACAAAACTTTCGAGTGGCTCCTTCTCAACATGACAGTATCTCTTAGATCCCCCTCACAGCAAGAAGGGCCCCATCCCCCTGGAATAACCCCACTCCACCTGACCACACCTCACAGGCACTGTTCTCCTTATCTTTCTAAAACTCAAGTAGCTCCTGAGTTGTTAAGTGCTTAAAGGTTAACTAAAAGACAGGAATTTTTTAGTGACACTAAATGGAGCTGATATGCCGGCCCATGGTGTGCAAATTTCTTAAAACACCCTTTAGCCTCTGGAGATTTGATGCTTTATGTGGGTAGAAAAATCTTTGTTGTGTTTCGATAGCTGCAGTGTCTGGAGGAGTTCTAGAATGTTCACTCTCTGTTGTATCAATAACTGTCAAGGACAGCTATTTCTTGGAAACGTCTCATGTTATGGAACACATTACATTTCATGGCCAAAAGCAGCCCCTGTGAGCTTTGTTTCCTTTCAGGAGGTGACCCAGAAGATTCTGGAAGCAGTGGGCAATGTGGCGGGCTCATCCCTGGAGCAAACCAGCTGGCTCAGCCGCAACCTGGAAGTGAAAGCCCAGCCGCAGGTGTGTCTGGAGGAGGAGGAGGACCCCGACATAGATTTGAACGGTAAGGTGCAAAGCATGAGCATCAGACTTCTAATCAAACAGCGGTTTGGTGTTATTAAGAATAAGAAATTGGATGTTTGAGCAGTATTTCCTATGGCAGGGGCACAGCAGCCTTTAAAGATGTCTCACAAAATCTCATCTTTTTCACAATGCCACTCATGGGTGCTCTTCCTCCAGACTCAGAAGCCCAGGCGGCTGCGATGGTGCCGTCCTCAGTGCCCTCAGTCTATAGCGTGCAGGCGCTCACTCTCCTTGCTGAGGTAAGTTCAGATCCCCTGTTTGTCCTTGTCTCTGTGGTGCTGTGGTGACCCTGGGGTAAAATACTGGAAACGATGGTCACTGTGGGCCCAGTGAGACTCTGTATATCAGGGAACATCCAGAGAAAAGAACTAGAAACACATTAAGAGCTGTTTGGGTGGATGGTTTGATATAAACCGGGCCCCTCCGCTGTGAAGTTAAAATCTGGGTTATAAACTGAAATAATTTGTGTTGGATATTTAAGAGAGACCCAAGTGGTAAAGCGAACCCATGTCTGTGGCAAATTGGAGGAAGCACAAAGAATGACAATTTGACAATCGAAAACTATTTTTTTTCATTATGGTGATCCTCAAAGGTGCTAGTCTCAGATGACATCTATGGTGAAGAGTGTAAGAATAGGGGCAGTGAAGTGAAATATGTCATGTGTAGTGGCAAGGCATATCATTACACTCAGAATTAAATTTTATGAAAACAGTCTGTGCACAGTCATCTGCTGCTCCAGCCACAAGTGAGGTGGGTCTCTTCTGTTGCAGAAAGAATATCTTAGGCAGAATTCCATACTTTACTGACTTTCTCTTTCTCGGCCTAGTGTCTTGGAGTATCTTTTCATCTGAAATACAAATTTCATTAGCACAGAGCAAAAAGGACAACTTTCACTTCATTGTCCCAATACTTACACTTCTGACTGTAGTTGGAACACGGAGTCCGCAGACAATAAGATATTAACAGAAATGGCTGACCGATACTTCAGAGCTCTATATGCCATAAAAGCCAGGTGCCCCGACTCCTGCCTCACGCCTGCCCTTGTGTGTCAGGTGCTGGCCCCGCTGCTGGACATGGTGTACCGCAGCGACGAGAAGGAGAAGGCCGTACCGCTCATCTCCCGGCTCATGTACTTCGTGTTTCCCTACCTGAAAAACCACAGGTACGGTAGCTGCCCAGCACCTCACCTGCGTGAGAAGGTGAACCTCACGGCCTCCGGTCACCAGCAGCCGGGGGACGGGGGGGGGGGAGACCTGAGTGTCAGTTTGTCTGTCCGCTGTCCCTGTGTCTCCAGCCGAATTAAAAACAGTTGACAAAGAGATGGTTAAGCCCTGAAATGTATACGGTTGCTGTTCTATGAATTGATTCAAAAGAGTATTTTTTGTAACATAGTGACAAAAATTGTGCGGTTTTTTTAAATGAGGCTTAAAATTCTACATTTTTTATAATATGTTGTGTGTTTTCCCCACATTTTCCAGTAGATGTAAAGGTCTCAAAACTAGCACCTCAGATCTAGCCTCTTCTAGCTCCCTGATTATCATTTTGTAAAGTTTGTTTTTGCTACCTTGCCTTGTGCCCGTTGCCTGCTGGGATAGGCTCCAGCTTCCCCATGAACCTGAATTGGAAAGAGCAGTTAGGAATTGGATGGATGAACTGCGTCTTGGTTTGGATCCTGTTAAGTGGTTCCTTTTTAATGTGTCCTTCCTGCAGTGCCTACAACATCCCCAGCTTCCGAGCAGGCTCCCAGCTCCTGAGCAGCCTGAGCGGATATGCCTATACCAAGAGGGCCTGGAAGAAGGAGGCCTTTGATCTCTTCATGGACCCTCTCTTCTTTCAGATGGACATCTCCTGTGTTTCCCAGTAAGGACCCCAGGGGGCGCCCCTTTGCCTTTTAATTTTTTCTTCAGCCCTGTGTGAGTAGAAAACCCTGTACTAAGGCTCACATTTACTCATTTACTAGCTACAAAGTGTTTTTAGTAGAGCAACATAATAAATGCTCAACCACATTCCATCCACGCCATACTCCATCATGGCTTATGCAGAGAAGGTGCAAAAAATGCTTCAAAATGTATATGTGATTATTCGATTTAAAAAATACCTGGAGGGAAGTCTTTCACCCGAAAGAAACTGCATTTTTGTAACATGGTTGTGTCACAGAGCTTCTTGGCAACACCTCAGGGCTTTGATCACATTCCTGGATCGAAACTATAGCCAGGCCCCCTGGCTTTCTCTCCCCTGCTGTAGACATGTTTCACTAGCAGGCTGTCCCACCCATGTGTAATCAGTGCACAGGGAATGTCAAGCACCACATTGGATGTGTAAAACAATCTCTTGGGACCATGCTTTGTGGATTCATTGAACGATGCATTGACCTCTGACTCCACTGGACAACTCCTGTACTTCTATTTTTCTGGCATCAGATGAGCACCAATTTGCAATGGTGGTCTGGACTGCGAACTAGATGATAATGGGTTTTAATCCCATGTGACACACTGCTACTGTATTCTTAAGCGATGTACTTCAGGTGAAGTGTTCCAGTAAAATACCCAGCTATATAAATAGCTGTGCTTATAATCCCCACCTATGAACTGGTTTTCTCCTCCCCGCTAATAACCGATTCATGTTGAGTGTACTGTTGCACTATGGCTGCTGTTGCATCACCCAGGTGGGGCTGCAAATTGGTGGTGGAGGGGAGTCCCCATTACCTGTAAAGCGCTTTATATGTTTAAGGAATTGTTATTTCTTATAATTATTACAGCCTGTTTCCTTTAGATTCAGTGGCAACTTCAAACACAAGGTTGATGTCTGTCTGGAGCCAGGCTGAAAATCCCACAAAGAATTCTGGCTTGAGCACAAATTTGACCACTTCTCTTCACACTTCAGTATCAGTTTTAATAGTGCATCACTTTGTCTTGAAGTTACTTTATACACAAAATCATCCAGATTATTGTCTGTTTTGTGTCTTATTCAGATGGAAGTCCATCGTGGATCATCTCCTGACTCACGAGAAAACTATGTTTAAAGACCTGATGAGTAAGTCATGGAAATAGCCTGCAGCAATTCTTGAGCGGAGTGATTATCTCCCATCCTTTGCCATAAAGCATTCTCTTCAAATGTGTCCACACATAAAACAAGCAGAAGAGCTAACAGAGTGTTCTATGGCATCAATAACAAGTACATCACTTACATTTGCTGTTCACATTGTATCTAATAGCCAGTGTCCATAGGGATACACTAGAGGCGTCCACAAGACTGGAAGACAGATTCTTCAATAGCTCCTAAAATGGTCACATGGCAGAGCCCAGTGCTCTTTAAATATCACTGAAACTGAATTGATCCCAGGTTCTTGAAATAAACCAGGATGTTGGCTTCAACAGCATGGATGGGTCCCTTGTTCCATAATGTTACAACAATTTTGGTGAATTTTGCTGTAGTCTATCTTACTCTTAGAATATATTTCATAGCGATCATTTAGGTTTTAAGTAAAATATTAAGCTTAAAAGAATGTGTATGCATCATTTCGTAATTTCACTAAAAAGGGACACCACTGGAAGGCTCTGAATACTTTTGCAGGGCTCGTCCGTGTGAATGTGCAGGTTATATATGCCTGTATAGAGCCAGGGGTTGTAGCTGTTGGCTGAGCTTGACTCAGCCAGGGTGTCCTCACAGGCAGCTAAACTGGTGTCTCTAGAACCTGCAGGACCCCTGTGAGCTCACTGTGGGTTCATGAGAGATCCACTGGTGCTGACCTCTCTGGTGAGGCACTGTGAAGCCAAGTGACAGGGAGACACGTTGGAGGAGTCTGTGTACAGGCCCTAATCCTTCACCTGCAGCACAGATTGTAGTGCCAAACTGCGGTTCCAAATAATCCTTTTAGATAGAAAAGTATCCTCCTCTGTTTTCTTTCGCAGGCATGCAGAGCAGCTCTCTCAAGCTGTTTGCCAGCTACGAGCAGAAGGCCATGCTGCTGAAACGCCAGGCCTTCGCCATTTTTAGCGGCGAGCTGGATCAGTACCACCTCTACCTGCCTCTCATCCAAGGTACGTACACGGCTAAAGGTGCCGCCTTTTTGGTTTTTGACTGAGGTTTTTCCCTTGAACTGACTGTGCGGTGGCACGGTCCCTGTGGAGAGAGGAAAAGGTGTGGCGTGTGGCGTGTGGCGTGTGGCGTGTGGCGTGTGGCGTGTGGCGTGTGGCGTGTGGCGTGTGGCGTGTGGCGTGTGGCGTGTGGCGTGTGGCGTGTACACCTGTAATCCAGGGGCAGGGAGAAGAGCAGGTGTGAGGATTATACCTGGAAGAAAGGGTGTGGGGTGTACATCTGGGATCCGTGGTCTGGGAGACGAGCACGTGTGAGGAGTGCACCTGGGAGCTCTGTAGGTTTCATGCCCTTTGACTGCTGTTCTTCACAGAGCGGCTCACGGAGAACCTGCGGGTGGGACAGACTCCCTTCGTTGCTGCTCAGATGTTTTTCACCTTCCGAGTTCTCCTCCTGCGGATCTCGCCCCAGCACTTGACCTCCCTGTGGCCCATCATGGTGACGGAGCTGGTACGCACTTCCCAAAGTCCACTTCTTCCTTCCCACTGGCATTCCTGCACCACTGTGATCTCTTGTTCCAGATACGATACCTTTAAGGACTTGAGTGTGTAAAGTTTTAGCCTGTATTACAGGGGCTTCGAGTGTCGGGAACCTGCAAGTTTTAGAGGCTTCTTTCAATTAGTACATCATTAAGATCTGGAAAGTGCATATTGGAATTCTTATTTGCCTAATTGGTTTAATTAAGTCATTAATTCATGTAGCCTCACCTCCATCACACTGGGATCTCTGTTCAGAAATTAACAGCCTCTCTGCTCGTTAGAGTAGATGTTTCAGATAAACAGTAGTTTAAGAACACCAAGATTGCTTGATTATTCTAAAGCATGTACTCATAACGTGAGATACCTGATTTCCTGTTCTAGCAATGGAGAGCTTGTGGGCTTTTGCTCACAGGCCTTGTGCAGGTACGCTGGTACTGTCTGGCTGCAGGCTGTGGTTCATTCTCTCAGCCTGAGAATTGATTCTCAGCCTGTTCTCAAAGAAACTAGTTACCAAATGGGCTGTCTGTCGAGGCCTCCTTGGATTTGTAACTGTTCTTATATTCTCAATCAACCAGCCGTGCCCTGAGACAACGTCCCAAGCAGGTCAGATGATCTTTAGCTTGTTCAAAGAAATGGGTCTTTACTTGTCTGGTAAGGAAAATCAGCTTGTGTGCTGGCCTGTGTTTTAGAGCAGAGATAAAAATGGGGAACCAGCACGATGGCCTTTACTGGGTCTAGGGAAAAGCTGTTAAAGGTACAAGCACAGACTCAGTGGGCTCTGCTGTTCACTCGGATAAGGTCACATTCAGGCAGTCCTGGGAGGTTCCATTCTTTTAGCTGGTTGTGACTCAGCAGAGGTCACTTCAGATGGAGCTGAAGAGGAAACAAGCAGGAGAGAGAGTGGCCCCAGCACAAGCTCTGAGTTGGCACCCTGTTTTTGCCGGAAGAGAAAGGACATTGTTGGGGGCCACTAGTGCCGAGCTGGTTGACCAATCACTTACTTGTGATATACTGTAACAACGTTTCCTGTGTTCCGATCAATAATTTGATTATTATTCCTTATAGCTCACTTGCATTTGCACAGGTGGGAGATAAGTGTACTGTTGACCTGCTGTCTGAGACAGAAAGCAAGTTTGTGTTGTGAAATAAAGGATTGCCACTAATTCTGATGACGGATAGTTTCCTCTTTACTAGGAGGAGCATGTTTTTTGTCATGTTTGTTTTTATTATGGAAAGATGTTACTACAAGACATAAATGTTCTCTTGTTTCTCATGTATACAAATTCTGCAACTTAAAAGGCTGATAGAATACTTTCAGGTAACCCAGGTTCGTCTGGAAATCAGGATTAATTTCTATTTGACTCTAGACAATCTAGTTCTGTAGATCTGTGGTCTCTAGGGCTATGGGTGTTCCTGCCAGACTGTGTTTTTTTTTTTTACCTTCTGTTCACATTGGGGTAAAACTGATTCATATTCTCTAGCAACTAACATTTGCTGTTGTGCTAAACCTTTGCTGTGAGTTTGTGACACTGTAAATGTGGCAAATCTGCAACAGAGAAAAAAGGTGTCAGGTTTATGTTTTCAATGGCTTGCGGTTTTGGAATGTTAATACCAACACAGTTATACAGGCTTGGCTTTGCTAAAATTGGACTATCTGTAGATGTTCTTATCCACATTTGTTTTTACCAAAATCAGTCAATCCATTTATTCAATTCAATTAATCTTCTTTCAATAAAGGTATGTTTTCTGAATCCTAGATCCAGGCGTTTGTCCAGCTTGAGGATCGTTTAGCTGAAGAAGAAGAAATTTCAAAGTAAGACATTTTGTTTTCTCCATTTACGAGCACAACATGCTTACAAAATCAATCCAATTAGTCTATAACTACTTCAATGCTGAGTTTAAGGTTAATAAACGTAGCTTTTACACTCCTGGTGGTTGCCTGCTTTCTCCTCTCTGCTCAGGCACGTCAGCAAGGCGAACGGCACGCAGGCAGGGGATGGCAACGGCCCCCTGCTCTCCTTCTCTCGCGGCGAGCTGGACTTGTATCTGTCGGCCTGTAAGTTCCTGGACACTGCCCTCTCCTTCCCCCCCGACAGGATGCCTCTCTTCCAGATGTAAGTGGTGACATTTTTTTAATCTTTCTTTGTGAACTTCTTATTAAAACAAGAACATTCCGGAATGCTAGCTTGGCCTTAATGGGTGTGAGGTATAATTGTCATATGCTCAGTCCTCAGAATCTGCGGTGTGCTTGTTGGAATTAGGAGTATTAACAAAGGGCTTGGGATCTGGGAGACAGCCTTATGACTGCCCCTTCAGGACATGTGAACTGGGGGCATTTTCCTTGATCCCATTAAAATACTTTCTGCCTGACCCCCATTCTTGTTAACGCTGCAACACCATCTTTGTTATTTACTTTTTATTGACTATTCTTTTCAGTCTTTTTCTACTTTGCCTTCTGTGCAATCTTGGTGTAAGTCTCTAGACCAGGTCACTGGTGTAAATGAGAACATTCCCTCAATTGAGTTCAATTACATAACACAGCAGGGGGGTTGATGGATATGAATATGAATATTGAGTATAAGAGTTGCATGAGCGCCAAGGGGTACAGGAATTAATGTAAAAAGGAATAATATCTGACTATGTGTTGTGAGAGAATTGGGATTAAAGGGCAAAAAATAATCTTGTATTCAGGACATTTTTTTTTTATATTGCAAAATAGTTATACAACCCGAACTATAAGGTTTAAACCAGTATCAAAATCAGCCTTCAGTCTTTATCAGTGATGAGGAAATGGGTATTTTATGTTGGGCTAGGGGGTCCACCATGGGTCAGTGTTGAGCACCTCTGCTTCCGAGTGGATGGTCATTCAGGTCCAGTAATCATCGCTTTATCATGACAGACATCATGAGAATCAAAGGGGCTGAGGGCAATGGTGAGGTGATTGATTTCATGCTGAAAGACCCATGAGTATCTTGTCTAGTGGTTGTAAACCTCTTTCTATTCCATGTTCATGCATGCCATGAACGAATATTGAAACTTTCTAGGGGTTTCCGCCAGAGAGGACCTCAAAATTATCACCACCACTTTCTGAGTGCAACGTATTTTTGGATTTATATTCATTTCTGGCAGCTCCTGACTGAACTGTCTTGCTGCTCTTCTGTTCTGCGTGTTGTTGAGGAGGTTCGAATGCACAGGTGCTTGGTGAATAAGTGTTTTAAAATGTCAGGTTTTCCCCAGCCCGTTCTAGGGTTTCGGGCATGATACATGGCAGCAGAAGCAAGGTCCACATGATTTTAAAAGATCTCAGAGCACCCCCAAGCAAAGAGAGGACAGGGCAGGGGCAAGGAGTGTTGGTCTGACGAGGAAAGCTCACTCCGCTCGGTATTGGGATTCGAACCTGAACGTTTGAGGGCTCCGAGCACACACCATGCCACTCCCTAGATGGCAGAAAAGACTGGTCCTCTGCTATGGCAAAGTGCCAGGTGGTCTGGATTTCAGAGGGAGGGGACCGTGACTTCCCCGCTGTAACTGGCTCAGTGCTCGCGCCCTGTTCCACTGTGCTCATTTCATCACAGGTACCGGTGGGCCTTCGTGCCAGAGGTGGACGTCGATGAGTACGCTGGCCCAGGGAGCAGCTATGTGGAGATGGACCCGGAGTGCAAGCCCCACGTTGTCCGGATCATGGAGCACCTCTACAAGAGATATGGGGTATAATACTCTTTAGAGTAGCCCTCCCTTAATGTTTTGTGCAAAATGCGGGTGTTTAACTACAGGGTGTATTTTTAGAAAGCTGAATGTGTAAGGCTTTCAAGTGCTAGGCCTTCAGGGACAGTCCTCAGTGCTGCCTTTGTGTGTGTGGTATCCTTACAGGAATGAGGTCTTGTTTGTTTCTAAGCAGTTGAGATTAGAAGGAAACTTGATACAAGTCATCAGGTCTTACAAATATCTTCCAACACCGGCCTCCTGGTTACTCCATGTCTAAGTGCGAGAATTCCTGGTGGTTGTCCCTTGAGCTGCGGTCCTCCCAGCCTGTGAGTTTCTTGTGAGTGTAGATCACCTGCTGTGGTCACTTCAGGTTGGCAAAGTAACATGAGCGACGCGAGGAGCACACAGGTCTACAGTCAAGCATGCATTTCATGCCAGGACTTGGAAGACCTTTTATAACAAATACTGCTGCTCCCGGAACCACAGAAAATTAAAAAAAGAACTTGCCCAGTGTGTCCTATAGTGTCACAGATTCTGTCTGTGGTGCCATAATGCTTAGCTTTTTTTGTTTGCACATCTGTTCTGTTGAGCCTTGTCTGGTGCTCATGAAGAGCAGTGTAGGTTGTAGTGAACTGGCCGTTTTACAGTAATTATCAGACTACAGGTGGCAGCAGTGTGTAGTGTTGTGATGGTTTGAATTTATTGAAACAATTCGAAACAGGAACAGTTAAGTCAAGAAGTACCTTTTGGCTTCCAGGAATCAATCAGAGCTAAGGGCAACTTACATATCTGGATTAAAAGAGCACAATATACTATTTTATTACTGCAATGATAAAGTGTGCCAAACACAAATAATAGAGTATGGATATACATATGAATCAAGCTGCCATGATACAAATAGCTGATCAGTCTTTTTAGTATAGAAAACTATACTAATAACACGAAGTTAAAATACAGTAATATTGGATTATTGAATTGAACTCATGAACAATTTCTAAACGCCAGAAAGCCAAGTAATTGCTTGCCCGAATTAATCTTTATCAGACACTTATGTGTTTGGATTAATAGCTTAAGTATTATAATGTAAACATTGAATGTATGCTCATCTGAATTTTAACTGGCCAGCTCCAGTCCTTATGAGACTTAGTATTATTTTGGTGATTGGCACAAAATTACCACTGGGAGCTTGTCACAAAACCACCGTTGTTGCAGAGGAATTTTTGGTCCTAATTCTGGTTAGTTGTGGCCTGGCAGTTCCTTTCTGCTAAGTTGGATTTAGTTCCAGTTTGGACAGCAGCAGTCACAGTCACATAATTCTTTAGCCGTGGAGTTACCAGAGACTGGGGGAGCATCACTGCTGTTTAGAGGTTTGAGCTATTTAATGAGGGCTGCTGATTGATGTAGTGCCCTCTTCCCCCACCACATGACATCTTCCTCATTGGTGGATCACAAGCCTTATCAGTGGGTTGGTGTCAGGTGACGTCCAGCCGGGTCTGACTCCAGTTGTTACTCCCTCCTGGAGCTGGAGACTGAAAGGCTGTGTTTTAGGCACTTTGTTACTGGAGGCGTCAAGCTGGACCCAATTTACGATGTCCTGTTTTGTGTCAGAGAGCTGGGAGTCCCACTTATCGGAGTCCTATTTCAGGAGCATTCCTATAAAGGTCAGTTAAGCAGGATCTAATTTCAGATTCAGAGCAACATAGAATAAATAATAATAATTAATCTTTCTGATGCATGCATGCTCATAGCCTCATTGTTAAAAAATCCAGGTGTATTTTTCTTGTTAGTTTCAGAGCTCCCTGACAAGGCTATTTGTATATTTGATATTGGTTTGTGATTAAGGATTATTTGTATAAAATCAAAAAAAGAATGACAACGGCAAGGCTACCGTAGTTAATGTTAATACTAAATGTCATTTTCCTTCTTCTAAGGCATCAACAAACAGAATCGGCCTTCGCGTAAAATCTGAGATGCGAGATGGCTAAATGCCTTAATTGTGTAAACCCACCATTTGACATTTTACTGCAGTGTCAGTACTTTCTGGAATATGAACCAGGAAACCCTTTGCCCTTAGGAGTTCAGTGTTAGAGAACATGCTTAATGAAGACACCTGAGGAATTACCTTCCAGAATCTGTTTCTCTTCACATCAATGCATTCCCTGCATTCTGCTTTGTTGCAACTTATTTTTCCATTCTTGCCTTCCTGCCTGCAACCGTTTTGTTGTGCGTTCTTCAAAGTGCGCTATTTTCTCTTCTACTAATTTCTCAGTCTCCCAAAAGGCAATAAAAATAATCTTACTGAGGAAATCTATCTCTCTTCTCTCCCTCCCTTTTGCCAGGACCTCAATGGCGTGAGCGAAGCGTCCCGCGCCGAACTTTTGGAATTCCCCCTGCTGACCATGAGGTCCATTTCCAGCATCACCCAGCTCACGCCATTCCTCAGGATCTTGAGCTTCAGCTTCAAAGGTCCAGGCTCGGCCTCGAAGCCCATGCCCGTCGTGGAGTACCCTGCTGCCCACAGCGAGGCCACCCTGAAAAAACTGGAGCAAAATATTGAATGTGAATTTCTGGAGACCATGGACAATTAAACTGGAAACATCGTACGATACTGACTCTGTGTTCCCACACTCTGTGTTGGAACCACGATGCCTGCTTGTTGAATCTCCTCATATCTGACGCAAGGTGGGTGCCTGATTGGGGTCAGTTTCAACCAGTTCTAGTTCTGTGAATGAAATAAAATGACATTAGTATTGATTTGAATTTGAACTGAAAAATTGATGTTGACCCCAAACCGGCCCCCAAATTTACTAGAGTGGTTGCTTGATATTTCTAGATAAATTCGGAGATTGCCACAAAGGGTGAAAAAGGACTTTTAACATGTTTTAATGGAGGTTTTCTTTCCTTTTGACTCTTACCATTACTGTTTTTCGAAATGCCTTGGCAAAGACATGACAGGAGATAGTAAACGGTCTCCTTAACTCAGTTCTGTTCCTTCGTCTTGGATCTGTTTCCCCCACAGCAGGTAAGTTTGTTTCCATAGCAGTGCCTGTTCATTCCTGGGTTTATGCCATATGTAAACTGCAACATGGAATATAACATACATTTCACAGAGTGTTGATTACGACCTTTAAAAATTCAGCTTGCTTTAAGTTTGAACTAAATCAAACCTTGCTGCTACACTCCACACCTGTGTTTCCTGAGTGCTGCAGGGTTAAAGGAGTGCTGGGCATTATTCCTCTGAAGTAGATAAGGGCCTATTCTGTGCTTTGTCTCTGCTGAACTCACTCTTATTTATTGCATCTGTTACAAGGCTGTATTTTACACTCAATATGTGTTGTTGAGAAATTCCAGAGTTTGAAATTCCTACATTACAATTGAGTTTAAAACTTGTAACCACAAACTTCAACTTGAACAGTATGTTCAAAGACAGATAGATGCACTATGCAGCTCTATGAATGAGCATGTTCTGTGCACATTGCATGAGGGCCAAAATGTAGTCTCACCTAGTTGTATAAGACTAAGAAGTGTTTAGTACTGTGTTTCTGTTCTTCTCATAATGGCCCTCTTTATATCCTGCACATTGCCTTAAATTCACTTAATTCTCACCTTATTTGCTTCTGGAGGTTAAGGAGGTTAGTACAGAGAGACTGGACATGGTGATACCAGTTTTCTAGGAGATAACAGGGAGATGTATCCATAGGTAATATTTAGGGGTTTAGTGCAGCTGGTTTTTACAAGGTTAGACAGAGCTCTGTGTTCAAAACTGGATAGATAAAAATCTCATTTTAAAGGATCTTCCCCCAAAATTTAAACAGTTTTGCCAATGTTAGTGAAGTGAATTGTTGCTGCCCATTATTTTATTTAAGCCCCTGGCCAACTTGGTCATGTGGTTTCTGGGACAGTCAGTGTTTTCTTACATGAGTATTTTTCCTCTAACCTCTTCTAACCTTTCCTGCATTTTTCACCACTGATCCTACCCTCAAATGTCTCCAAAGGGTTTGAGAATGAAGGAACAATGTTCACTGTAATGAATGCTGTAAGAACTATTTCCTGTTTCTCAGCTCTTGATATGTGAAACATCTTTTGAATGTTTTGATTGCCCAGCACTTTCAGTTTGTTTCATGATTGACATAAGTTAGGTGTTTTACTTCAAATACATTTTTGATTATTTTTAAGTTCATTCACTATTCACAATAGGTCTGCTTGTAGTGTATACCATAAGCATAAAACTTCTTTAGTTAGGTCTGTATTAATCCATGAATACTGATGTGAAAGCTTTTGCAACGGAACTCATCGAAGAGTTTAGTGGTTGGTAGTAAATAATGCTTTTTGAATATATAGTTTTAAAAGGATTTTCCAGTATTCAGAGGAAGCTAAAAGCATTGCTGACCTCTACTTTAGGATATAATGTGCAAAGCACATAATCGCTAACACACCAGTTATTTCTTTAAAGGGAACTATTTTAGCTCTTTTTCTGTTTTCTTGGGAATGTCTGCATTTAATTATTTCCTTACATGAATGTTACTCTGTGCATCTTAAAAACTCTGATATTTAAATAAATGTGACCTGTAAATAAACAAACCTGTGAACAGCAAATTTAATAAAAACTTAATGTCTTAAACATTGTCTGTGTTGCTCACGACTAACACTTGAACCTCCAGGAAATGACTACGGAATGTAAAATTTCAAAAAAAAAAGATCTGATTAATAATAATAATTTAATTAATAATTGCTTACACTTATATAGCGCTTTTCTGGACACTCCACTCAAAGCGCTTTACAGGTAATGGGGACTCCCCTCCACCACCACCAATGTGTAGCATCCACCTGAATGATGCGACGGCAGCCATAGTGCGCCAGAACGCTCACCACACATCAGCTATCAGTGGGGAGGAGAGCAGAGTAATGTAGCCAATTCATAGAGGGGGATTATTAGGAGGCCATGATGGGGTAAAGGCCAGGGGGGAAATTTGGCCAGGACACCGGGGTTACACCCCTACTCTTTTCGAGAAACACCCTGGGATTTTTAATGACCACAGAGAGTCAGGACCTCGGTTTTACGTCTCATCCGAAGGACGGCGCCTGTTTACAGTATAGTGTCCCCGTCACTATACTGGGGCATTAGGACCCACATGGACCGCAGGGTGAGCACCCCCTGCTGGCCCCACTAACACCTCTTCCAGCAGCAACCTTAGTTTTTCCCTGGAGGTCTCCCATCCAGGTACTGACCAGGCTCACACCTGCTTAGCTTCAGTGGGTTGCCAGTTGTGAGTTGCAGGGTGATATGGCTGCTGGATATGGCTGAATTAGATATCTGATTATATAAAGATCTGTTATATATTGATAAAAAAAAAATAAAGGGGCATGTTAAGAGTTAGTTAAATATGTGTACATCTTTGGCTCTCCAGACACCCGTTTTATTACAACAAGTGTTTTATAAAAGTTAAACACCTCCCGTAACACTAAAGCTTCTTTACTGGTCGGTAACCATCTTGTTGGGGGAGATGATAGTGCTGAAAAGAGAAGACGTGTTACAGAAACATCAAACTAATCTTGACCAACTAAAATGTGGTGCAAATGACCCATGAACCACAGAACGCAGCTCATGGTCACCTTAACACCTGTGTGTTTGAGTGGCCTGTCATTGTGTCATGTGGGCAGAACCCTTCCAGATGGACCTGTCGTCTCCCTTCAGAGAGGCCTGCACAGTCCACTATCCAGCTTTTCTTCCCTCTGAGATTGTCAGCAGCAACATATTATTCCTCTCCCACTCTTTGGATTAACTCTTCCGTCTTCAGACTGCTCGGGAAGTCCGGAAACGGAGAATTCCCTCTCAACAGCTCTCTCAATTACATCCATCCATTTTCACTTCCACTTTTCCTGGCGAGGGTTGGAATGAAGCCGGAGTCTACCCAGCAAACAACGAGCGCAAGGCAGGGTACCCCTGGACAGGGCACCAGTCCATCGCAGGGCAAGTGCAAGCCAATCATACATGGGGACAATTTGGAGGCCATGGGGAGAAATTTGGCTCGGACACCGGGATAACTCTGTACTCTTCGCGAGAACTCTTCTTTACTCTTCTCTTCTTGAGAGCACAGTCCACTATTCAGCTTTTCTTCCCTCTGAGATTGTCAGCAATTTTCTCGAGGAAATGCCCGGGGATCTTTCATGACCACTGAGAGTCAGGACGTCGGTTTAACGCCTCACACGAAAGACGGCGCCCACTACGGTATAGTGTCTCCGCCACTATACTGGGGCATAAGGACCCACACCGACCACAGGATGGGCACACTAACCATCGCTGGTCCCACTAACACCACTTCCAGCAGCAACCATAGCTTCCCAGGAGGTCTCTCATCCAGGTACTGACCAGGCTCAACCCTGCTTAGCTTCAGTGGGTAGCCAGGTGAGAGCTGAAGGGCGATATACTGTACTGTAGCTGCTGGCTCTATCAATTATAATAATAATAATAAAATTGTCGTCTCTTTTATAAGGAGATCCTGGTGAGCTTAAACCCTTTATGCCCACTTTACCAATTACTGATCACCTTCCATGATGCAGACCTGGAGCCATATAAATTGAATACAGCAACATTCCACCCGGTGCCCTGCAAATCACTCTGTACTCTAATCAGAATCCTTCTACCACAGAGACCACACATTCGCCTGTGGATGTTAAAGCACAGGAGCCCGTTTTGCTTTACCTGTCCTGTCTAGAGTCTAGACTGTTTTATCACATCCAGGAATTAGAGTACCGAGTGTGCCGGTACCTGTAAATCTCCTTATAGTCACGTGATTACCCGAAAAACCAAGGCGCTATATCTCGGAAACGAAAGCAGCACAAACGCAGCACTAAGGAATGACGGGGGTTTCGTCTTTTGTGCTGTTAGTAGGGGGGCCAACGTCAGTGAGCTGTCTACGGGATATAAATCTTGTGTTAAAATGTATATCTTAAGTCTTTTAAGTAAAAGGGTTAGAAGTGGGGATGCGAACACACGCTGCCGGATGGAGAGCAAAAACAACGGTTTATCTCGGACGGTATTAAAAACTTTGAGGCTAGTGCTTTACACTACTCGGATATCCTGTTGTGGTGTAGTTTGCCTTTAGATACTACAAAGTGCTAAACTGGTTATTTAAAATACAGAAATGGTCATAATTGAGCCCTGGCTCGTAATTAATATATATTATAGCAGCCTTTTGTAATTTAATGGAAAACGCTAAAACAACATATCATTACTTAACAACATGGTTAAGTAATGATAAACGTAAAAATAGTAAATTTCTGTATACCATATCCATGTTATTATCTCTAATACATCGATGTCCTGCATTAACTTCATTAAAATGTAGGGTGGGCTTAAAACGCGTGAGCACACGTTTCTGGGCAGGCAACATCACTTAAATGAGTATTAAATTGAGTCAGTTTCTAAGAACCAAACCAGGAGAACTTTTGGAGAAAGGTCTACTGTGACGCAATCAGTTCGCAGGAGGGGGCAAAGGGACAGATGGGCGGGGGGCGGAGCCAGGGCCGGCGGAGTTTGCGCGATACGAATCCGATCACACTGGGGCGAGTGTTTTGCTTTGAGCCGAGCAGCTCGCTGTGGGTAAAATGGCTGTACGGACGGAGCAGGGGATCCCTCTGAGCGCGGTAAGTGGACCTGGCGTTTTAATCGCGTCAGCCGTGATGGCTATTATTTTCCTGATTTTTTTTTATCACTGTCAGTTTCATGGCTGAAGGGTTTGATTTTGCTCCGGCGGAGCCCGAGTCCGGTTGACAAAAAGACTCTCCCTTCGTTTCCGTCGGGAGCTGGTACCGCGGGGGGAGACAGTGTTGTGAAATGTGAGCGTCCAAGATAAAATACCTGCGACTCAAGAGGCAGCGTGCAGTGGGGGAGATGGGGGCTACCGGCTGCGGGTCAGATCTGGATGTACTGGCCGCAGAACCTAAATGCTGCCCCAGGCGCTGCGGTTGGGTCAGTTCCTGATGGAAGGAGGTCTGACCGATGGCTGTTTAGGGAAGACGAGAAGGCAAGAGGAGAGTAGGAGGTTGGGGCAGCCCGAGTGGCGCTTGGTGGCAGCGCTTTCTTTTTGAGATGGTGAACTGCGATTTTAAGTTACGCTGTCAAGATACGCCACTATGAATGCAATGGTTGTCCAGTCTTCTGTTTGTTTTGCATGTGCAGTTCTTGCTGGGTGTACTGTGGACGCTTTTACTAGCCTCACTAGGACTTGACAGCGTCGATACACGACGTAGTGTATGCTTTCATATTCTGAGGCCCTGGAAACGCTTTTGCAGTCCCCCCGAACAACGGCACTACATATGGTCTTTTCTATTTGGGTGAGAACAGTGGTTACGGTCTTGAAGCGCAGGGCTGCGCAGCTGTGCGTTCTTCGTGGGGCTTCCGTGTGACGTCACGCAGTAATGTCAGTAAAATCTTCTGCAGCCGAGGCAGAGGCCGGCGGTATTGTACTAGGGGCAGGAGTAGCCTCACAACTGAATTACTGTACCTTTGGAAAATCACGTTTGTTACAGTCACTTTCAAAACGCCGTTTCTGCGGAAGCAGCGTGTGACGAAAGAGCCGGCGAACGACACGCTAGTTCGCGCCTGTACATATATTCCCTCCATAGCCACTCTCTACACCTTACACCTGCCCCGGCTGCGGGACGTCGAAATCGGTTTCTCGGGGCAGGAATGCCTGTCCATCTGAGTGCCCATGCACACGAGGAGAGAGGGGTGGACAGTTCAGAGATTATTAGAAAGTTTGTTTCTGGGCTGTGGATGAAAACCAGAGCATCCGCCGAAACCATAAGGGGAGAACATATAACATTTTTCTAGCCAGAACACCTTTTTTTTTCCAGATCCCTTCAATACAGAAGAGAAGTAAAGGACAAGAGAGCAAGACTGATTTATTTTATCGTCTGGTGTTCACAGATGTTAGGAATGTGCTGGAGTTGAAGGGTATTAATACTATTAACAGTGAGGCTGCTTGTCTCCTGTGCTGAAATATCTCCATGACACTGTCTGGTAGCAGCTCTCGAAGAACAGGCATCTGCGCATACCTGCGAGAATCTGCACTGCAAGAATCTGACTTACAGATAGATGTAGGGGAGCCATATGAGAAAGGTTGCAAACAAGAGGAGGCCATTGGGAACATCTAGCCTGGTGTAGTTGATAATTGTAATTAATTGATCCAGGGACCTCAGCCAGTAAGCTTACTTCAAGTTAGAGGGTAACAACATGGTTTATATCTTGTTCCACACTCCCACTGACCTTTGTGTAAAGATGTGCCACCTGTTTTTGGTTTTAAATGCACTTCCGCAGAGTTACCCTCTGTTTGCTTTGCTCAAGAAGTCCACAGGGTTGATATCTTTAATTTGATGGGAATGATTCTGTTTGATGTGCTTTCCTTACTATGGTAGTATGGCCTCGGGTTTCAGCAAAACAACAACTTTCCCACATTTCCCTTCCTGTTTCTTTTCCCGGTGAAAAAAAACATGTATCATGGTGCTTGTTTCCATTTGAAATGGAAGTAGTGAAACATTCCCTAAGGTTTCCTTATCCTGGAAAGGGAGGGATTTCAGTTTAGTCTGACGAAACGCCTGAGTTTCACTTTCCATTCAGTGAAAGTCTGCCCTCTCTGGCACATCCCCGGGTCTAGCTGATTACTCAGAATGAACTCCGGTGCTCAGAATGTGCAGTGATCATTCATCTTTTATGACGTTATATTGAAATCATAAGTCCTTAATGAGGACGAATGATTGAAAATTCATCGACAAATGTGGGTCCATTAGGCAGAAAAGTTTGGAAACCTTTTCCCTAAAGTTTTTCTCAGAAGGAAGCCTGCTGTGTGTTCCAAACTCCAGCACTGCTCTCCTTTAGTTTAGATACTGTATGTATCTCCTTTTGCTGTTCCCTCTTGAAGCCCCGAGAAAGTCTTCCTGAAGTTTCCTCTCTCTGGTCTCCCAGCGGGAGCCTGTTTTCTGGAGCGTTCATGGCTGTGCTGTGTGTCAGTCTGGGGTTGTGACAGGGCATTCCTCCTCTCCCTCCATTTCAGGGTAGCTCGTCGGGTCACACTTCCTGACTGACATGTTGAACACCGTTCAAATTCAGCGAGCATGACCGATCAATTACAGTGTTGCCAAAGCAGACACAACAGAACATTTACAGTAAAAAACATATTATTGGATGCAAAGGAACAACTAATAGGTTTATTTAATACTGAAAAGAAAGAAAACAACGTTATGGCTGTGGAGCCTTCTTCAGCTGTTAGAAAGACCATATTATTGGATATTTACAGACATTACCTAAAAATATTATTGTGAGACAGGTTCGTTGTCTGCTTCTCAGGCTGTTACAAGTCCCCTTGTGCCTCCTCGCAGCTGTGTGCTGTGGGACTGATCATTCCTACTCACTCGGCGGTAACCAGAGGGGGAGATGAACACGCCGGTGGGAGTCACTTTTAAAAGTAGAATCCTCTAGCGACTGAAGATCAAGAAACTCCTATGAAATACTGCCGGTAAAACAACATCAGAGTTTAAATAATAAAGAGGCGTGTGTGGATTTGTGAAGCTCCTGAGGGTGCCAGGGTGTTTTTCTGCAAACACGGCATTGATTAGGCCTGACACCTCGTGTTGTGAGTTCAGTCTGTACCCAGCGGGGGGAGGGAACTGCACAGAGCGATCTCCTGTCACAGCCTGTCTCACAGTCATATTTTATGTGATGTATGGAAGTAAAGGTCCAATATGTTTCTTTTTGTACTGTAAATTCCCCGTTAATTGTTTCTGCATTGGCAACACTCATTTGTCATTCAGGTCAATAAAACTCTTTGGATTTGGGAAATTGTGTCCTGATTGCTTGTAGGTATCTAGGTGACCCTGTTACCTTCAAAACGTTTAGCTTATTTTGAATTTCACTTTGCAGTGCAGCGTTATGAAATTGGCGCCACTCTTTGAAAAAGAGGAAGGGCTGGTGAAAGTGAAACTGGACACGAGCTGCTGACTCCTGATAATCCGCTCACATTTATCATGGGCTCTTCCAGACGGCAGTGAGGACAGCTACAAGTCAGTATGCTGTTGCCCAGTGTCCCTCTAGACACAGCTCTTGCCACTGTAGAGCTTTGTGTGGGTTTTCACTTACAGTGGGATGTATGACCCCGCCTTACAGATTGATTTTAAAAAAAATGGAAACGGGTGCACAGTCGCTGTCTAACCGCAATCACGTCCCACAGCCGACGGAACTGTCACTACCTGGCTGGTTTGCGAAAGAGTCTGCCATTTGCAGCTTCCTGTTCGCTCTTCTTCTCTGCAGCACTAGTTGCCCTGCAGGCTGCAGAACAGCTCTCGCTGTTCACTATGGCCCAAATCCTGTCAGACAAGTCAGAGGGCAGTTTGACAGGAGAGGTGCCATATATAGGCAACAGTCAGCGAAACGTGAGATGGAAGGACCTGAAACCCATCCAAAAACTGGGCCCAGAAAGTCTTAACCTCACACCAGAAGAAGGCTCCACAGCCAAAATATTGTGTGTCTCTTTTCCTTTCCTTTCAGCGTGGAGAAACCTTTATCTGTTCCTTTGCAGAAAAAAAATCCTGTCTGTTTTGAACCAATTATCATTGTGCCAGACTAGAAGTGTGGAAAGGAATGGAACCCGTGCCAGTTATGAATGTGTTCTTGCTGTTAATTGTATAACATTTGAACAGCTTCATTTCCTGGAGCGGAAAGTGGATCTGGTGCTGTTGATTGGCTCCTTGTGACCGTAGAGTGCTCTTTAAACTGGCCGTAAAAGTTTGCTAATGTAACTGATGTTTGCCAAAGCAGTGTCTGAGGCTCCCTGTCTTATAATATTTATGAAAAGGGGGACCAGGGCAGCCCTATAAAATAATTACTTCAAGTGAAAACTTTGAGTTGACTGTGGATCCAGAGACGGATGGCTTCCTTTAAGACCAGCTTTCTTCAAATTCTGCTGTGTGTGTTTCTACCAGTAACTGAGATCTGCATAATCCAGTAACCTCGATTTCAGTTGGAAGTGAGTGGAAATGCAGTTTTAATGTTGACTGGGGTTTGGCGCTGTGAAATAATTAGTGGCGTAATTTTCCAGGCACGGCTGCACCTGTTTTGAACACAGAGTCTCGTCTTGTACGCGTTATGTCCAATTGGAGGATGGAGGGCATGCATGAGTCAGGAGGTGCCGGAACGAAGAGGCCACACCTGTGTGTTGTGGCTGCAGTAGCTGGGAGCAGTTTGAAAACATCTGACAAGTGTCGACTCATTGAGTTTCCTGTGTGTTCGTGCTCATGTAAATGAGCATCACGTGAAGTTGGTGAGTCAGGGAAGAATCGGGCTGGTGCCGTTTGTAGCTTTGAGGAGCACGGCTGGCTGTCTTGAAACGGGGATTTGAAACCCTCTAACGCAGAGGCGACTCTGACCCAGCAGATTTGAACAGTGAGACACAAAGCAGAAGACTCCAGGAGAAACTGTGTGGAAGAGCATTTAAAACTGAAAATAGGAGACGGTTCTTTACACAGAGGCTTGTGGGAATCTGGAACAGGCTACCCAAATGTGTGGTTAAAGCCGATACTGTAGATTCTTTAAATACACTGTTTAAGATCCTTGCATTAATTAAGTACTAACTACCCAATGGACCAGATGGGCCTCTTGTTCTATAGCCTTTCCTCTGTTCTTTTCCAAGACAGTTGCCGTAGTGCACCCCTTCAGTACATAGGGCGTGAGCAGGGGAGTTTCTGCAGGATTGCTCACACTGCGTCAATATAACTCTTCAGCCTTATTATTGAACCTTCTATTGAACACAGTATCGAACAGTATTGAATTTTGAATCTTATTATTGAGCCTTATGTTGATCACAACCCTGAGTGGGATTTATATTGAAGGGTTGGGGCAATTGATCAGGACCACGGCAGAGTTTTCGCTGAGCGTGCCATCAGCCATAGTAAACAATGCAGATCGTGAGTCGTATGGCCTGTTAATAAAGGCCTTTTCTTCAAGCGGTGAGCCTTCCCAGCCTTCCCGTCTTTCAGATGGAAGAGTTGTGATTGAGCAAACAATCGGGTTTTTGTTTCCTCTGGTCTCTATCCCTGAAACCTCCTGGCTAATTTTGATACTGTTCAAAGATATATTTATATATACCTTGTTGTTACCCGGGCCAGGAGATGTTTTTAATTACGGCTCATTCTTAGGGATAACTTGATCGAAGCACCTAAACTGATGATCTTTTGAGCGAATAGCAGGTTGGTCGGGCTCTTCTTATTTGTAGTGTCAAACAAATGACAAAGTTCAGGTGTCGGTGAAGCAGAAGTCTCTTTATTCATATGCATATGGAAGTCCGGCTTGCAACCACCAGACTTAACAAATAAGTAGCTGAAGATGGTCCTTTATACCTTAAAACCAAAAGAGTTACTATGACACATTCTAAACAAATGATAAGACAGCAATACATGCCAATTAATTATATCTAAGTTGCAGACTAGACAACAGTTCTTTTCATGTTCTGGGTGTACAGCCAGCTTACCAAATACATGCCCCTTATCTTACTGACCAAGGACAGGCAGCATCTTAATATGTATTTGAGCACAAAGCCTACTAGACTGCATAGTTTGCAAAAAACTACAAAAACAAGAAATTATAATATCTCACTTCCCAGGCGGCTCTCTTATCTTCCTCATATTCAACCTTTTTTTTTTGTGAACCCTCATAGTGTAACATAACAGTATTAGGGATCGTGTCCTTACAAATGTTTCCTGTTAGTCCGATATCTTTTCACCCCTCACATGGTTCATTCTGAAGGGGTGTCACAGGAGTAGGCACAGTCACCCACCCCCTTTTTTTTTAAATCAAACTTTTTATCATCCCCTCCAAAGTCGATTCTCCCCACTCTGGTTTCAAGAAAAACATTGATATGCTGTTTAATATAATTAGAGTGGGGAGCTCTGCGAGTGTCCAAACTGCCGAGTGAGCTTCAAGTTAAAAGCGTAGTGTTTTGTCTGATCACAGAACCTTCTGCTAATATTCTTTTCCTGCTTCGTCAAAAACTCTTCCAGTAATGACTTGTCTTGCCGCTTGCCCATACATGGCTGCTCTGTGTAGGGGCAGGGGTATTGTTGGTATTTGAAGCCAGTCTCCCATATCAGTCCTACAATTTTGCAAGTCAAGTCACTGCTGGCTTCACAGTTTCATCTCTAACCAGCATCCCACTAGCCCAGCATATCTGTGTGGAAGGGTGGCCTCATGCAGGAGCTGTCTGTGTGGTATGAAGCATGTCTATGCCTTAATGATAGACTTAATTGATTCAATGATTGAACGCCACCGATGACATTCAATGATACAGCTCCAAGAGAAAAGTAACCTCCACCTGCCTCGGCCATAGTCATGGCTTGCAATTCAGTATCTGGGGGAACTTACAGAGACGGTTAAATAAAGTTAAACCCCTCATTCCACTCATTGTGCAGCAAAAGAATTGAAAACTAATGGAAATGAAACTGTTCTAATTTTCATTGAAAATCTAACTTATGTACATGCTGTCTGAATTTTTTTCTGTTTTGAGTAGAGAGCAGATTACTAGTCAACCTTTCAGGTTAAATGTGTAATGCTTGCAAGCTCCAGCAGCAGCAAAACATATGACATCTTTGCAGTGAGGTAAGTACTTGTGGAAGGCGTGCAGCACCGCCCTGTTCCATATTTCTTCTCGCATTACTCAAGGACACACCTGTGTACTCCTTGTGAGAAGCCCCCACATAGTGGAACTGTCCAGCAGTTTGCCTGCCACATGTGTTTCGTCTGTCGAAGACTGGACATTACCGCATGTGCTTCACCACTTCTGTATTCCAGCTTTCTCTGTTAGAATTGACCTCTGGTAACCCGCGTTTGTCTTTTGTGTTTCAGCTCTGCCCGAAGTTCTTGCACACCAATTCCACCAGTCACACCTGGCCTTTCAGCGCTATCGCTGAATTAATAGGTGAGTGATTTCCAAGCCCTTTCCTTCCTCTGGGGTTCTGCTCCCGTTCGTTCCCATTTTGAGGATCTTTAACCTTAGTGTATCCTGTGTTACATTTGTTTTTTCTTAGAATGGTTAATCTGAATATTGAAACTTTAAAAAGTAATATTCATATATTTGATATTAAACAAAATTATGTTTTAAATAATTCCTGACGCTTATATAGCACTCAACTCAAAGCGCTTTACGGGTAAAGGGGACTCCCCTACACCACCAGCAATGAGTAGCCCCACCTGGATGATGCGATGGCAGCCATAGTGCACACAGTACGCTCACCACACTTGCAGAATCTGCTCTCACACATCAGCTCTCAGTGGGGAGGAGAACAGAGTGATGAAGTCAATTCATAGATGGGGTTTATTAGGAGGCCATGATTGGTAAGGGCCAATGGGAAATTTGGCCAGGACGCCGGGGTTACACCCCTACTCTTTTCAAGAAACGCCCTGGGATTTTTAATGACCACGGAGACTCAGGACCTCTATTTTACGTCTCGTATAAAGGACGGCACATCTTTATTTATGGTAGAGTGTCCCTATAGCTATACTGGGGCGTCAAATCCCATACAGACCACAGGGTGAGCACCCCCTACTGGTCCCACTAACACCTCTTCCAGCAGCAGCCTTAGCTTTCCCAGGAGGTCTCCCATCCAACTGGCCAGGCTCATGCCTGCTGAGCTTCAGTTGTGAGCTGATATAGCTGTTGACAGTTTCATTTTTAAGCACGGTGAACAATTATCAGATGTCATGCGTGATGAAGGTGCAGAACTCGACTGAAGCTGGAGCTACAGTGGTGTGAAAAAGTGTTTGCCCCCTTCCTGATTTCTTATTTTGTTGCACGTTTGTGACACTGAAATGTTTCAGATCATCAAACAAATTGAAATATTAGACAAAGATAACACAAGTAAACACAAAATGCTGTTTTTAAATGAAGGTTTTTATTATTAA